GTAAACGTAAAACGGAATATTTTTTCTTTGTCTCCGATGTCTATTGATAGAACGAGTCTCTTCTCTCTTTTCGTAGACAGTCGGGCACATCTTTGATGGTCGGGCACATCCAGCATTGGAACGCAGGCATCCCGCACAAGAACAAATCCCTTGGCCACCGCACCCCTATGCATGATTAGAAAGACTGCTAGTTTAACGTTATTTAACAATTAGTCGCGAAGGTGATTGTTATTATACTGCGCCTGAGGCGACTAATTGTTTTAGTATAAATTTCGAGGTGTTTACAAATAAAAAACAACACAATTTCATGAAATTTACATTGAAATTTATAATAACTTCAAAATTCTTATTTGAAAAAAAGTATTAAAATCTATAGTCACTGACCGTTGACTATCACTTCAATGGTAATGAATTTTGACCAATCAGAATGCAGGAAAATCAATAGTCACAAATACCTATATTGTTATTGACGCAAATAAAAGATGTGCCCAACTCCATCAAAAATGCGTCCGACTGTCTACGGAAGACAAAATTAATAGTGTCTTCCCTAAATCCTTTTGATTGAAACCCTCCTTATTTTATCTTTGATTCGCTTTTTAACTAGGCTGTTCTTGACGAGAACCAAGAACTATTACGCGCATGCCTGATTATTTTACGAAACACAATTCAAAAATTGAAGATATCGTTGAAAAGAATGTCTGGTATGAAAAATCAGGGTTTTCATTGTGACCACCCTTAAAATCATGATTATTGTAATACTAGTTTATATCCATGTTTATAGAAAAATGCAATCCTGCTTTCTTTTATACAAAATTACGGACATTTCTAACTGGGTATAGTATGCTTTACTAGTTATTGAGTATTCTGTCATACACAATTTAAACTATAGCTAATAACTAATAAAGTTTTTTGAATTTTTGCACGGCGATAAGAATAATTTTGTACGCCGTTTTTTTTGTGGAAACAATACCTTGAATTGATTTTTGACGAAGTCGAGCTTTTTATTCAGCGATCACCGAGCCGATTAGTATAACGTATATCAAACTTGTTTTCATTTAGGTGGAAGAACAACAAATCGTTGCCAGATGGAATTATTTATGAAGGAGTAAGCTCAAAACCATTTCAGGTTTGTAAGACGTTTGTCAGTTGCACTGGCTCAACCTGCTTCCCAGGATATTTCCCCGTTTGGCGCCGTTTTAGCTGGGAGCTAGTTGGGAGTGGGAAAGTGCGTTTTAGAATAGCCAACTCCTTCACTGACTTTAAGTAACTGATTACAGTAAAAAATTCTACGAATAGTCTTTCCTTAGTCTAGATTAAAAGTTCTCTGTCACCGAATCGGGCATGTTGTAAAACATAGACTGGCCTATGGTTTGGACTGGAGTTGTAAACTATGGACTCAAAAAACATGGACTTGTAAAACATGGACCTGTAAAACCTGGACTTGCAAAACATGGACTTGTGTCTTGTAAAACATGGACACCAATCTAAGGCAATCTACATTACAAAATATTTTGTCACTCTCTGCCACCTCCTTCATTTGCCGTCGGAATTGGACGGCGATAACGACTATTTACAGACATACAAAGACATGCATTTTGGGGCAGAGAGTGACAAGATATTTTGTAATGTGTTGTTGTGTGCATGGGGTGTTTAATGAGCTCAAACCAGCAGATTCGAAGATTGGTGTTTATGATTTACAAGACTATAAGTCTATTTTTTACAAGCCCATGTTCTACAAGTTCGTGTTTTACAAGTCCATATTTTACAAGTCCATATTTCACAAGTCCATGTTTTACAAGTCCATGTTTTACAAATCCATGTTTTACAAGTCCATGTTTTACAAGTCCATATTTTACATGTCTATATTTTACAAGCCTCTTGTTTTACAATAGGCATGTTTTACAAATCCATGTTTTACAAGGCCATGTTTTACAAGGCCATATTTTACAAGTCCATATTTTACAAATCCATGTTTTACAAGTCCATAAAAAATTATTTTAAAAGTAAATATTTTACAAGTCCATGTTTTACAAGTCCAACCACTCCATAGTTTACAACTCCAGTCCAATGCATGATCCAGTCCATGCTTTAGAACATGCCGCCGAATCGCGCCATTGGTGGATGACATGGGAATCAAAGTATGCTCTCCTGGAGAATTTTCGTGATTTTTCTATGAAAATATATGCCAAAACTTCTTTCGCCACAATGCTCAATGAGCGTGCCTGAATACCTTGATTACCCGATATATGCTGAGATCCGACTGAGTCCGAAAAAAGAACCGATCAGTGCCATACGCATGCACGAAGATCCCTCTTTAGTAGAACATCATAATTTTTATATGATTAAATCATTAGTTTTCAGGAGCAAGTGGAGCACAAAGTACTGGATTCCATCTGTTTGATGCCGCTCTTGGCATTACGCACGAAGGTAGATATTTTATATTTTACAGTTTTCCCCGGTGTGCTAGAGTATCGATAAAGAGTTTTGGAGACAAGAAGTATTCAAATACTTTCTAAGACTGTCGGAAAAAATTGCCCGCAAACATTGGCAAAAACTCACATTGAAGTCAGGTATAGATACATGCATGCATGTATATTTCGAATGACTTGCTTTGTTCGTGTTTTTTTCTCAGCCTAGTGAAGTGATATTTCAATTCACATGCAAACACGACCATATTGTTTTGGAAATTCTCGGTGTAACTTTTGTGAAGCATGGCAATGTATCTGCAAACTCTTAACTGTGGCTGAATGAATTAATAATTATTATAATTATGCAAAGCATTACATACATAAGTAATTCGAGCTGGCTACAAAATTAACCCTCTTCTACTGGATACCGTATATATTTCTATTGTCTTCTCTCTATTAGATGGTGAAAAGGCATTTCTGGAATCAATGTTGGATTATATGCCTCGTGGTCATCGGCAATTTGTGAAAGAAATCCGTAAAGGACCGTCTATTCGTGACTATGGTTTGTAAATCAAATTTGAAACATAAATTTCAATTTGATGTGTCAGCAGATTGGCAGTTTAGTCCTTGTCTTCAGATCAGGGGCCGGTTATTATAAAACTGCATGGCCTCTGAAGCTCACTTCAATATATGGCTGTCATATGACGTTTACCCATGTGCATAAATGTCTTGCCTTGTTTCCTTTCAAATAATATAAGATATCCTTACTTTAACAGTCGTAAGAAGCGAAAATGGTGAATTGTTGAAGCTATACAACGAATGCGTGGAAAGCCTCGTGCAGTTTCGAAGTCTGCATGTTCAAGTTGTAACTAGGCGAGTTCAATATTTAATTTTATTTCATATAACCCCGTCTGACTCCATATATTTAGTAACGGAAGAAATCCGCGAAATTAGTCTTTATTTTTACTGCAAAAATAAAAGTGATGTTTTAATGAGATAAAAGGCCATTTATATGAGGGAAAATATATAAGTGGCAACTTATATACGACGCAACTCGAGTAAGACAGGAGCTGTACGTTTATACCCGCCTGTCAGGCCCGTCTTGCACAAGACGCGTCTTATCTAAGACGCGAAAAAGCATTTTGCATAGTTTATACGATGAGGTCTTATTTAACCGGTCGCGTCCTTTTCCTCGTTTAAATGGCCCTATAAAACATTACGTGAGGGGTATTTCTCATGGGACTCGCCCCTACAGTGTAGCTACGCGTTTTAATACTTGTTAACTTGTAATAATAGTCGTCAAATTCGTCTCAATCCTTCAGATATGTGACAATTCAAGCGGCGAACAAGAAAAATGAAACATGTACAGCACCATGCAGTATATCACGTCACATCAGGCACAGCAGGCACATCAGGCACAGCAGGCACAGGTATATGAAGGGGGGAAATTACATTGTTATTTAATTTATTGCATAATATTCTGACTCATGCATGAGCTGCTTATCGAAATCGCACGGAAACTATCATTGTTTTCTTTGATGGAATACTGTAAGAGCAGGACTGAAATTTGACTGGCCTTTAGAATTTCCCATTTTTATTTCTTTTTAACGCATGCAGGCTACGAAACATTTGCAGACAATTCTAATCTTATTTCGTGATTTTTTATTATTTTTTCAGTTTTTTGAGCACATTATTAATTTCATGTTACTACACATTCTCTTTTTAAGAATATATGTCTATTCTGAAACGAGTAAGGAACAAGACAAATGATGCCAAAATCAAATAAATAAACCATTACGGAACATATACAGTCAAACTACACACCACCTACTGATTAGCAACATAGACTATCCAAACATTCAAATGAATCTTTAAAGAGGCTTTGATACCACCTACAGACTATATGGACTGTCCAATTCACCTGATATATAATTCATGAATATATACTTGAGACACGTGTATATTAAATTATATAATTATGAATTGGTTGGAAAGGGCGACTTAAAAGCAACTATTTCTAGACTTTTTAATCTGTATACCACAGATAAATTCATGATATTTTCTTTGTAGTCATTTGAAAAGACGTAGCGGTCGCATTAAACGATGCAATGTTTGTCGCATCATAATATTCCGAGGCATGCACAAAAACATGAAAAGTATTCGTCTGCACTTGGGAATGGTCATGAACACTGATCATAATTATTCACTATAGTGACAATAACAAAACCTGATTTCTGACGTAGCCGCAACGTATAATAACCAACCTTTCCTAACGTAATAACCGGTACTTGTGGCTTGACCTTTGCGTTATCTTCGAAGAATAGCTCGGTGACCTTTTTGACAATTCCGGCGTCGTCACGAATATGCCTTTGCCATAAACAATTCACCAAACGTTTGAATATTCAAATATGTGGTAATTCAGGTTGAACGTCATCTCTCCATTATGAAGTTTATTCTTCCGCCCTATTTAAAAGATCTTAACAAAGACTTTTTCTCAGCCATTGTCATTTGTCACTGAAAAACATCCTTGTTGCTTCATTTTGATACATTTCTATTTCACCAATTTTGAAATGAACGACACCGTCGACACATTCCTTCACTTAAATGCGTTTGAAATAATAGAATCAGAAAGGGAATGGGTAATGTCTTCATTAAAAAAATACGACGTATCGTACACTCGTGGTTTCCTTCCTCATCAAAACCCTCTGGTAAGTATATTTATAATCCTCAGCCAATCAGCATTTTAATGACTCGATTTCTTACACAATAACTTGCAGACTTTATTTTCGTTGGTAATCAGACGTTTAAATATCGCGCTCCACGAAATTGAATAACCATTATTAGGCGCCAACTGAAGAACGGCAAGCACTTTTTGAAAGAGAATTAAAACACAGAGTCATAGCTAGAAGTTTAATTGGGAGGGGTGCATAATCATATCTTCGTCTTTTGGCCGATTAATTGCCTTTAAACGCCGAAACGAGATTAATTGTTCCTTTCTTCCTGCGAACTTATGTAAACAGTACTGTATGTATATACATTTTTCATCATTATACTGCATTAGAACGCAAATAATAATACACTGTGTAGTTATATAGCTAATACTGTCTAGTTATATATTTCAGCTCAAATTTAGCAATCCATACTTCTCAATCTGGGATGATATCTTCAATGAATTAACCTCGCTCATTCAGTTCAAGAAACTACAACAAGCTGTAGAACAAGTAAGGAACGACCGATATTTACGAAAGTGTTTAAAACTATAAAACATAATTAGTATAAAATCAAATTTCTTCGTCATAATTAAGCTCATGAACACCTATTATAAAATAAATTATAACGTGTTTCGAAATTTAATTCGCGTATGGAAATCAAACCTGGAGCACTTACTACCTTGTTGTTGTTATTTTATAAAACAATGACTTAATGGTTTCCTGTGTTTCGATGGCCGGCTTGATCCAAACAATTGTGAATGTTGCTTTGATTAAGAAAAGCTCGCAAAATCACTCGCCTTCGGCTCGTGTTTCACGCGCGCGATTTTCTTAACTCTCGCAACATTCCAGCATGTTTGGATGAGGCCATCCAAACACGGAAACCAAGAAGTAACCAACACTTTATTTGTCAAGAAAGCAGAACCCATGCACCTATAAGAAATATTTCGCAAGCTGGGGAAATCTTTGTATGAATTAGCCCGCCTTCAACAACGTCTCTCCAACGGGCCTGTATTTATGTGTTATATTTTGTCTACTGCGTATAATATAGATGAAACGGTCAGCATTATAAAAATGCAATTCCCCGTAGTTTAATATATATATTCAATTTAATTTCACATAATGACAAACCCATTGGCATTGAAGCCGGTTATGCCTCGTTTACACTGTAACAGACTCGCTTGTGACGATATGTAAAACTTGTATGTAAGTAAAACTTGTGATTGGTTGATTATGCTGATTAGTTTAATTGGTATATAGATTTGGTATATTTTTTATCACTACTAGTAAAATTTCTTACTGCCTTTTACTGCCCTACAAAATTTGATCCACTCCGGAAACAATCCAGTATAGTGCATGTAAACAGGGTCTTAAGCCGCGTTTACACTCCACTCGATTTAATAGTACGGCACTGTTAAAATCGGTACCCGGGCCCATTTCGTCTCGTGTCTGTCTTAGTTTTGGTAGCCTCAACACTAATAAAATTGGTACCCATTTTTGCCTTGCCGACGCCGTGCCAATAAATTGAGTGTAGTGTAAACGGGGTCTTAGCCTTAGGCCTGTTTTCCACTTCAATCGTATCGTAGCGTAACGTAGCGTAGCGTATTTCTTTGTTTACGGAGTATTCGACTTTAAAACAATGAGATACGCTACGTTTCCCTACGATACGGTTGAAGTGGAAAACGGCCTTTAGTTTACCCTTTACCGTTACAGGCCATTCGACAGTCATATAGATACATATTATCTGAAAATACAGAAAATAACAGAAAAGCTGCTAAATTTTCTTTCAAATCTAGATGCCAATACTCGATCATAATCACTTGGCAAGTGAACGGGAGTGGGGAAGAGCGTTGACTGTTCTTACCGCTGTTACTCATGGTTATGTCTGGCAAAATGGGCAAAACGATCCACCAAAGGTAAACTGATATTTATGTTCATGGATTCAGCTTGAATTCTTTTATAAAATAATATGATACAAATCCCTTGATGCATATAGAGGTCTAACACTGATAACAATTTGAAAGTTATATAGCTAAACTATAATCTGCTTACCTACACTTACCTACACTTCTATTTTACTAGCATTTACTGATTTCGTTTAGATTATCCCAAAGTGTTTATCAATACCATTGGTGGCGGCTGCAAATCATATTGGTATATAGGAAAGAGTATAATTAATAATGTTGGATGCTTTTTCCGTATATATATATATATATATATATATATATATATATATATATATATATATATATATATATAATAGATAAGCAATGAATAATAGTACTGCTTGTTTTCAATGTTTTTGGTAGATTATATATAGCTTCAGAATTCGAGTTTTTCGACAATGCTCTGCATACCTCAAATTATGCAAATATACAGCTGAGCTATATAATAAATTGGTATAATCAAATAAGTTTTCATAATATAATGTAGGTGTGTATCCTGTTGCTTGCGTCTGGTCATCTCTGATCAATAACTGGAAAATTAAAGATGAAACAAGGTTAGTGATTAGCGTTAGCAAACAGATCCTTTATAAAAACTTTCAAGGGACTTTGTAATGTTTTTTACTAATGTTTTTTTTTTACATTAAATTTTCATATTTTAAAGACTCGCTTTGGATATAAGGTAGATATTTTATCGAATCAGGCTGACCTATTTGGGGGATGGGCCATATAATTATAGCCGTATTACTTTAGCCGTGGCAGAGGCCGAAGGAGACTGGAAATAGGTGTATTAAATATCTTATTCATGACTTCGTGATAGAAAAAACAGTGTGAAAAACTATAAGAAGATATCATAGTGGCAAAATTGTAAAAGCAAGAAAATTTCATCTGAAGTTGAAGTATTCTTCTCTAAGTTCTATTTCTTTCCCTGAGATTGACCGTCTTGAGACTTTCCTAAGATTATTAGCCTAAAAACTAGCCCCGTTAAAACAATGGACCTATAATTTGCATAATTAAACAACTTATGTTCTAGTTAATAAGAAGAAAGAAAACAGCATACATAAATTAGTGTAATTGCCAGGTTTGGCAGCAAAATGTCGAGTAGTATGAAATATATATAGCCATGCAAAGTAGGCAAATTTTGTAATCTTTTTACTATGCCCGGAAGCGTGTAACTATATTTCCGTAGTAAAATCGCCTACATCGCATGGCCATAATTTCCGTACTTTACCATATTTCGCTGCCAAACTTGGCAATTTTACTAAGTTTGGTTTTCACTTTTCGGAAATTCCCATTTTGTTGCCTAAATCAAATGCTGGTCTGATATAAAAAAAAGGGTCAATTCATATATGTTGTCAAACGATTTACTTCCTCTAGCAACATTGATATGCAATCTTTATATACCGGATCAAATGAGGAGATTTGGTTCTTTTTAATTCACTGGGATATAGAAATCCAGTCTGTACCAGGAATTAAGGTAAGTCCTGAAATTTTTTGTGATTTTGCTTGCTGGCCAAGACTTGATTTTCCATATTGAGCATCAATTGAGAGGGTAAGCAAATCTTGATTTAGTCGCACTATGGTTAGCGCTAACAATTCCTTCACCAGACAACGGTAGTCTATGCCAGTTCAGGGTACGTCGGAATATATTATACGGCCTAATTTCAGAATTTCAAAATACTTTATAATACCAACCCTGTTGTTTATCCATTTTCAAAAGAATATTTCTACTTAAAAATCTACCAATATATGATTACAATTCAAGTCAGAGCTGTGATAATCTGACTTTCCCTGAGTCTGCAACATCGTTTACTAAATTAACTGGTTATATCAGGGCCGTCGCTAGAGCTGATTGGGGAAGGGGGTTACATACTAATATATTGCGTAAACCGTAAAAATAGCTATAAAGAAATTAGTCGGGCATAAGACGAATATATGAATATGCATCCCCTCTTCCCAATTAAGCTTCTAGTGACGGCCCTACTAGTTATTATCCCTATATAATGAGTCAGCCAAATTGTGACTAATTAAAATTGTCTATTTTCACAACTCTAGAGTGTAGTCGCTGCACAAAAAGTATGTTGTCAACTATTAACTTTTTCAAAATTTTGAAGAACTTTACCAAACATAAGAGAATCGTAAATAATGACACTATTCGATTCGATAAACATGCTACAACTTGTCGCATCCTTTCTGATCTTTCAATCATTAGAAACGTTATTTGATCAACAAGTAAGGTTTGCGTTTTTTTCATACTATTAAGCTTTTATACATTATCTTGATTTCTTGCTTTTTAATATCGTTACCTTTAGGCTGTGCGTGACAAAAATCAAGAACTACTCTGCGCATGCTTGGTCGTTTTACAAGCAACTATTCAGAAATTGAAAAAATCGTTAAAAAGAATGTATGGTATGAAAAATCAGTGAATCTATGCATCATCACCACCATCATCACCAGCATCGTCATCATGACTATCATCATCGCATATGCCAACATCATCATCCTCATTACCACCATCAACAGAAGCATTATTTCCCGTAGCTTTTTTCAAGCAAAATATTTGACTATAGCGACGTCGAACAAGGTCAGCTAACCGCGTCGTAGATCGTAAACTAAACTCCCTATTATTCGCTCAGTGGAGTTTCCGTCTGTTGCTACTAATGGACCACTTATCTCAATGTATAAAGAAGGGACAAAAAATCCCCCTTTTAGCCAAAAAATATTTTGGTCTAGGACTCTCAGGAGTTCGCCTGCATAGTAATGAAATCGCGTGTACTAAAGAACGTATAAGAGGCCTAGGGACTAGACTGTGCGGAAATGAACACAAAAGACCCTGGGAACGGGTATATATACCACTAACATCACCACTATCGCCACAATCATAGTCCTCATCACCACTGTCATCACCACCCACCTTATCACCACTATCACCCTAAGCATTATCATCATTACCGTTATAATCAGCACCATCATTATCATTACCCTCATCCCCACTATCATCACTGCCATTACCACAGGTATTATCATCATCATCGTCGTCGTTTTGTATTACGCTTATAATAAATCACAAAACGACTTTGAGTGAATTATTTAGCTAACATTTTGGCAATATGTTTTAGAACAATGTAGTCCAACTTTCTTTTATACGAAATTACGGATATTTCTAGCCGGGTATAGTATGCTATATTTTTGCATCATACACATACAAAAATTCGAGATTTCGAGCACAATACAAATAATTATGTAATGTTCAAATAATCTAAACCTGCTTCAAAATTTGTTCTTCTCATGTGCCGACGCATTGAAAAACAGATAATCAGTTTAACTTTCTTTGAAATTAGCTGTTACTAATAAAGTTCGGTACACTACAAACACAACGCCCCATACTGCCCAAAAAGAAAGTCCCTCATCACTATTTATGTAATCATAACGATCGCTGACACAAAACCCGTTTCCTTTCAACTTACATGTAAATTAAAATGCTCTATGATAGTAAAAACCGTATTTGTGTAATGTTTTTTTTCTTTGATCTGTGGCATGCACCACTAGTCAAAGTAATACAACATTAATGGCAACATATTACGCGACATCAGGGTGCGTTATGTAACAAGCGTGCGTGCATTTTGCAACCTTATTATGCAAAATGTGCAACATGTAGTGCAGCATCGTGCAGCAACGTCTTCCGTCCGACCACGTAATTGTTGCAATGATTTGATTAATTTATAATAACTTGGGAATCGTTCGCAGATACTATACAACATAAATGTTTTCAATTAGTTGGAAGAACAACAAATCGCTACCAGATGGAATTATTTATGAAGGAGTGAGCTCAAAACCATTTAAGGTTCGTAATAATTTTTCAAGGTTGAATTAACTTTTAGTGACCTACGGAAGTTGCGCCGGCAGAGAGGAGGGGTGCATGTCTTTATAAGCATATTAGCCACACGTAAATTTTCGACGAATAAAACATCATTATGGTCATAAATAATTCGAAATATACTCTTAAATACGTCAATAGTGTATGCTTTATAACCTGACATAGTTCACGATTAAAGCTTTAAAAGCTATGTTACTAGTATATTCGTAAAAAAAATTAAAAATGAGTCAAACAAGACACCGTTTTTTAGCACTAAATTTAAATAATGAACCAATCATTTCCGGCCATGTGACAATCCATGCGATTAGGTGAACACTAATTTTTTCTACGGAATGTAATTATTTTACCATTATTATTACAGTTTTCAGGAGCAAGTGCATCGCAAAGTACTACATTTCATTTGTTTGATGCCGCTCTTGGCATTACGCACCAAGGTATTTTTCACCTGCAATGTACATACAAGAAAATAAAGCATAACTAGTTATTTGAAGAAAAGTAACCATTTAAACAAGATAATTATCATTCTTGAAATTTTGCATCGTGATAATTGTTATACGCAGAAATCTCTGCATGTAAACAATTATATATTACTACCTACAGGTACTACATATTCATTTTCCCCTATAATTGAGTTTAACTTGATCTGGCCCTAAACCTCTCTTCTGGGTGTAATACTGTACTGATATCTATATCGTTTTTTCTTCTATCTATTAGATGGTGAAAAGACATATCTGGAATCAATGTTGGATTATATGCCTCGTGGTCATCGGCAATTTGTTCAAGAGATTCGTAAAGGACCATCTATTCGTGACTATGGTTAGTTGATCAAATTTTAAATATAGATTCGCGTGAGCAGATGGGCTATTTAGTCCTTGTTCTAAGGCCCGCCGCACACGTGAGCTATTAGCTGAGCTAAAGACAACGCGTGGTTGTTAGCTCTGCCCGGAAACCATCCCCAGACGTGAGAAACCTGCTTTTCGAGGCGAATTCCTCACGAAAAACTAGGTAACTAGGTAACTTCAATAGTACAACTGAGGCGCTGGAAACAGACTCAGTTTAGCGCAGCTGCATGGAAAAGAGTTTTAGAAAAAAGGACACACATCGTGATTTTAGCAACATCAAAGTTGAGATCAAATTGTGAATTTATGACTATTAAATGATAATAGTAATACCTCTCCTCGTGCACCTTTATTTCTGTCCAAAGATTTCTTCTATAATTTTCCGGAATACGTATTGAAACTGTGAGACTAATTAGCAATGTTCAGACTCCAACGGCTAAAACATGTATACCGTATATTTATTATACAGTGGCAGGATGAAGCTACACAATAGACCTTTCTTATTATCACGTCAAACGCGGAAAGTCTAATGTTTCACGAAAGTTGATTGGCTCCACAAAACTATCGAGCCAATCAAACTTCGTGTAACATCAGACTTTCCACGTTTGACGTAAGTATGAAAAAGATCAATAATTTGCCGGCAAATATTTAGGTCTGATTTTTTTTAAACTGATTGTTTAAAACATAAATAATTATATATAAAGATACTCTTCCAGTTACACTTCTACCTGGTGATATAATTATGATGTTCTTACTTTAATAGTTCTAAAAAGTGAAGATGGTGAATTGTTGAAACTATACGACGACTGTGTGGAAAGTCTCGTGCAGTTTCGAAGTCTACATATTCAAGTTGTAACTAGGTGAGTTCAATATTTAATTTTACTTAAACTATTAAAATGTTATTTATTTGATAACCACATTTACTGCCGAGGGAGAAAAACCTGCGAAACAGCAGCCTATGGCCAGGGTTTCCAAAATGCAAGGTAATTTCCTTACAATTGGCAACCACAAGGGAGTGATGGAGGGATCTGTTTTAATAGAATATTTTATGCCTTCTTTTCAAAACTTGCTCTCGTTTGTTGTTGGCGCCCCCCCCCCCCTATCAGGAGTTCGATGATTTTATCCCGCTGTGTAAATTTCGAGTTATTATAATTATTTAAGCTTTTAAAAATTTATTGTTTTTATAGTCAATGAACGCCATATTTAATAGTACTAGCATAGTGGAACATAACGTCAGCTTGGCTACGTTACTGCGCGTTGCCAAGCGCGTTCCTGTTCTTACAGGAATGAAAGTGTGTCGGCGGATCTCCATGAAAAAATACATTATTTTCGGAAAAAAAAATTACAAACATGACAAGGATATAAGTCTTGTAATAAGTACCCTTGACTAAAAACAGCTGTTCACTGATGTACGACGCATAGATTAAGATGTATTTCTCGTAGTGCCCCACAGTTGTCCCACCCCAACCTCTTTTTTAGCTAACCACTGGCGGTTGTGATAATAATCGTGAAATTCATCTCAATATTTCAGCTATGTGACAATTCAAGCAGCAAATGCGAAAAATAAACTTGATAGAGCACTGGTACATCACGGCACGGGAGGAACAGGTATGGAAGAAAATTGCATTATTACTGATTGTAATTTGGTCCAGCTTTCTGCTGTCTGCTGATCTTTTTATTCATTTGAGGCCTTCAAATGGAAAGTGAGACTCATACAATAGACATTTTAATAGACCATCTCAGCTTGCATGAAAATTAACCCATTTCAGATGTTGCGACCAAACCTTGTCTGACCCAACTCAACCCAGGGTTTCCATGGAATAGCCAATAAAACTTAACCATTTCAGACCATGAGATATGAAATGGGTCAATTTGCGTACAAGCTGAAAATGTTTATTAACTGCTATCATATGACTTTTTGAAGTATGTTATTAATTGTCAATTCACATTTTCTTAAGAATATATGTCCTTTCTGAAACATGTGAGGGACGAAACAAATGATGCCAAGATGATTTAAATAAATAGAACCACAGGCTATCGACACACTAGATTATCCAAACGTTTAAAAGAACCTTATAATAGCTATGGTTATATAAATCACGTTTTTTGTAACATTTTGTAATTATTTTATAATTCATATACTTTTAAGTTGTGTTATACTTCTTGACCTATAAATCCGATCAAGTGAGAATGCGATTGAAAGCTTGGGAATCAAAATCTGATCAAAATCTAATGAGCTTGGGAATCATAAAAACCTATTTTATTCTACACCGCAGTTAAAAATTATGGACATAATTGTTCCCGTTTAATTTGAAAACTCAAGTGACAAGGCACGTTTTTTCTAAGAGTCACCTTTGCATAATTATACATAGAATGACACGCAAGTTCTTAAAATTAAAGACGTCAGTTCGGAAGAACTGAGATATTTGTCCATAAGTGCCCAGGAAAATGTCACAATTTGTTGAGTATTTCTATAGATTTAATATTTTTTTATTTCAAAATGTGTTTTTATTCTTGCGGCTTTTCTTGTGTTTTTCAAATTGTTGACCTGAAAGTTTTTTGAACGACGAGCATTTGTCATGTGATGGCTAGGAAATTAGCTTTTCTCATGATGACGTTTTTGGTTACTTTTAATTTTCTCAAATGGGTTTAAAATATAACATCAGGAAAAGTAATTCTTTTAGAATGAACAGACCTTCCAGGAATAAATTCAGCCTAAAATTAAAGGCAGTCAGTCGCTCACGGTGAGCTCAGTGGGCTATTATGCGATAAATTTTGATGATAAAAGAGGGAAATTTTGATATCAAAAACGGAAGCACTGGGATTTAGTCAATCTACTTTTGAATTTTCAATTTTGACATTACATAAACTGCGTGAGATGCTTTCTTGGTGTGAAAAATATCCCTTCAATCCTACATTTTAGAAAGGTTCTGAACCTAAATTATAGGATAAATATTAAGAAGGAAAATTGCAGCGTTTATAAGTAAGGATATTGCTTTAAAAAGCGAGAGAAATGGTGCATTATCAGGAAGTTTGTAATCCACAGGCGACAGAGAAATTATGCTAAACAACGTTGGAAAACATGGCAATTAAAACCATACAATTCATTGCCAATCTTTATACGGTAAATAGATGTTTATACTCCTAGCGATTACCTGTGTTAGTTTTTTCTATTTTTTATATCAAGCTGCTTATAAAATGATTAAAATGCTGTTCATCGATGAATTTCCAAATGTATAGCAGTGGTCAGGGAGATATGAAGCTTCATACTGTAGTCTTAGGTGATAGGTAACATAACGTACATACTATAGAATACCCTGTAATATATTAATTAAAGCAGCACATTATTCTAGAGGCTGAAAAACTTGCTTGAATTAAAATATTTTAACAGTAGGATTACTCTGCCAGTGCTAAAGAAAAAATTGAAATGTACAATTTATGTATGGTAGGGTCATGGTAAGTTGTGTATGTAATTAGACCAGTCCTAACCATCATACATTAAAATGGTTATATTAACTATATTAGTATATAAATTATATATTTTCCTTGCAGGCTTGTTCAACCGGGTAACAATTTCTGAAATCTGGGAAAAGCCTTTATTGATAAAGTAAAGGAAAATGAATTTTAATCAAAATGTGATGAATACCTGTCCTGATCAATGTGGCTAGCATAACCAGTGGTTTAGCTACAGACGAAAAGTGTTACTTAAATGATAGCAGCATGTCTCCATAACATATCAGGTTAAAATTTACCTCATTGTAAATTTTATATATACGCTCTTCTCAAAAAATGTGAGACATCATTTTGTGGCTGAATGGCTTCTGTTGAAAGATTTAAAGTAAAACCTCTTCTGTCTGGAAACTGTTGGCAAGTTTGATTTGTAAATTTGCATTAATGCAAGGTTAAGCTAACCATCTTTGGAAGAACCTTTCAATGATACTGTGTTTCACTGCTAGAATTTTCAGTTAAATAAAAATATTCATCCTATCTTATGATAAAGTGACTAATTACCATGTTTATTTATTTATTTTGTACTTGTGCAACAAAAACTTTTGTTAGAAAACTGGCTAAAAACAAAATTTACAAACTTTGATATTGTAGTGTTTGTTCACCATTTCTATGCACCTTAGAGACAACTATTTTATTCATCTAGGTGGCAACACTTTTTCATTTTCTTCTATCTACTGTATAATGAAAATTAAATTTAAGACCTATTGTATATGGCTTTAAATGTAATTCACCTCAGTATTTTCATTCAGAACATTTAGTTTATATTATGGAGTCTGTTGGTTAGTTATTTTTTAGAATCCAAATCCAATGCAGTAGCAGTGTTTTTGTGTGAAATTTACTTTTTTCAATATGACCACACCTTGAACTCATAGGTGCATGACATTGTATGGTACCGGTAATGTTTCTAACACCATTCTTGTACATTCTGATATTAGAGAAAACAAGATCTTGATCTCCTTGGTTATCTTGGAATTGAAACTAAAAGTGAAAAAAGTGAAGGATCCAACACAAAGAAAGGTTTGAACATAAGTTTGTAACAGATTTGTTATTCTCTTCTGATTAGTTCATTTGGCAAATTGTTAGCTTTGATCTTCCATCAACTCTACATTCTTCTTTCTATAATTGTGATGTGTTGTCATGTTGTCTGTTAATGCATGTATGGTATTAGGTTGTACATTGTTTTGTTTTGTCTTGTTTTGTCCAGTACTTGTCTGACATTAAACACCATGTCAAAGTGAACTTATTGTCGCTATAACAATGCTTTTTTTAACCGGATGACATTTCATCTTTAAGTACAGGGTACAAAAAACACCTAATCTTTAAAATGAAAATTAGTTATAATGGACTGTGATGTTAAATGCTTTGCTACAAAAACAAGACAATACTAGATCCTTTTAGAATTTCAAACGGTATAGCACTCATATTAATATGAAAGGTTTTACAGTCAATTTATTAATTTCAAAACATGAAACGACCAAATTGACAATTTGAAGGAATCCTACATATGTGGAAAAGGATTAATTTTATGTCAGTCCAAATTTCATGTCAATTCGACGGCTGCCTAAAATGATTAAACTATCCTTTTCAATCCAATCAGGCAACAACGCTTCCGGTCGTTCTTAGTTGTGTGTATCTGTGATAACTGTTTGGTAGCTATACCCTGGATTAAACCTTATATATAAATATTAAGCCTTCTTTCTAAAGTAAATTAAGTAAAGTAAAGTAGAAAACGCTAATTCACATTCACTATCGCAATCCCTAATTGATATTCTTAAGTTGTGCTCTTTATTATCCGAATTCCTTACTCATTATTGATCCTCATGCACTATTAATTTATTCCTATGACGTTTGCATGTATTATGATAATTACCTATATCCGCACCATTTCAAACATCTTTACTAACAGACCTAAATCAGTAAATCTATAGGTTTACTGCTTTTCAAATATCTTTATGTACTGTCAACTGGGGTGAATTGGGACAATTTTTAAGCATTTTTAGTAAAATCTACTCAGATAATTTTCAAACAGGGCTCATTATATGTCATAATTAAGGTCTCTTACTACAGTTTACAACACCATATTCAGTAATTACTCATGTAGTATCAATTAGGCTTTTTTTGAAAAAAACTGCCTTGTCCCAATCAACCTCATGTTGGGGTGATTTGGGACACAATGTTTAATACTAAGAAAATTAGTCTGAAATCATAGTAGGCCAATTGGGACTTGGGTGGGGTGATTTGAGACACTTAAATCCTTTCAGTAAGACAAATAAAATTGCAATGCAATTCTCAAAAATGGAGCAAAATGTTAATTTTTCAAATGTAGCAATCTATAATAATGCAAATCTCTGTATTTCAAACTGTTTTCTTTTAAACATGAAGCAAAAATATTTATAGCATGTGTAATTGAAAAGACAATGAGAATTAGTTCATCTTATTTAAAACCAAACCATGCAATAGTTTATAATACTTAGTTTAAACTGGTTTTGCAGTAAATTGCAAACATAGTACATATGGTACGGTAGCTAAAAGCTCATTTTTACTTTCCCAAAAATGTCTTGCATTTGTTCATCAAATGTTAAGTTAGATTCTTAAATAACATAAAAACACAGTTTCTCAAAAACAACTTAATTTTTTTTGTTGTGTTCCACCTATGTTAATAGCTATATTTCCAGCCTCGTCCAGCTTTTTTTAATTGAGGTGTGACATCACATTCATAAATACTTGCATAAAACACTGCATCTTTTTCTCTTTCAAGATTTTGTGGTTCCCTTATACCATAGGGCTTTTCAAGGCACTGGACCATGCTTTCCCCTCCAGCCTTTTTAAGGACTTTTCCAACAAACACTTCCTCTTCATATAGAACTTTAACCCACTGTCCAACAGATATTTCATGTGGCGCTAATTGCTTTAGTGTTAACTCAGCAGGCTCATCATCAATGCTTGACTTGTCTGATTCATCCAAAGAATTTTCAGACTCAGAATCTTCAGACTCAGAATCTTCAGACTCCTAATCTTCAGACTCCTAATCTTCAGACTCAGAATCTTCAGACTCAGAATCTTCAGACTCAGAATCATTCTCGTCAGAATCTTGAGATGCATCTTTGTCCTCACTTTCAAGAAAGTCATCCACACTGTAACTTTTTCCAGGGTCTACTGTAACCTTTTTCCTTCTCTCAGGTTTTTTGTTTTCAACTAGACTGCGCATGATTTTCAGGAGATGTTGCTGGCACTGGCAGATGTAGAAGGTTCACTCTGTGGCAATTTCGAGATCAATGCTTCAGGGTTAAATGGGTAGATACCACATGCTTGGAATCCGGATATAAGGTTATCAGTATTCAGTGATTCTGTTAAGTCTTTTAACAGTCGAGGGAATGAATCCTTTGGAATGCTTGACAAGTATTGATTTTTCAATTTCCAGAACTTTAATATTTTCCGCCACTTACGTTTCAATGGTGCAAAAAAAGCAACATCGAGTGGCTGGGACAAATGCGTACTATTTGGAACCAAACACACGAACGAGATATTGTGGTCTTCACACAAACGAATAACATCAATTGAAAAATGGCTGGACAGGTTGTCACCAATAACAACCTTTTTTCCCTCCTTCTGTCGCGCCCATGGTAGGACAATAGTACGAAACCAGTCATCAAATGAGATAGCATCGAACCAACCACTCTTAGAACGATTATATCGAGCACCCTTTGGACCTCCAGTTGTCCAAATGTTCCACATGTGAATTGCTTTATACACAACATAAACTGGAAGTAACTCACCATTGGCAGATACACAGAACATTACACTGGTACTTCCTTTGGAATAGTTCATTACCCGCTCAGGATACTTCTTCCCACGTTTGAAAATAAGTTTTTCTTGCCCAGGATCATCAGAAAGATTCGTTTCATCATAATTTAAAATGTTTTCTGGTGGAACATCATTCACAACTTCTTTTAAGTTTTCAAAGTACTTTTCAAAGTCTTCTTTATGCATTTCAGCACGCTTGGTTTTAATGTTTTGACACAAACGCTGACGAATCACATTTCTATGGCGCTTTAAAAAGCTTTTAGCCCATTCCTCGCCAGGAAGATTTCCTTTAAATTTTTTGATACTTCGACCAGACTTGTCCAAATAAGATTTGACCAAGAGACGAAGATCTAACTTTGAAAATGGAAATCCCCATTCAGCAACCACGATCAGATGATTTGCAATCAATACTTCTGCATTTGTGAGGCACGTTTGTCCACCTTGTGGCTTCATTTGAAGGCTTTAAATTTTCGATTTAAGGTTGACTTTGGAATGTTGAACGTGTTTGCAGCTTTACGAACTGACATGCCTTCTTTAATCTGCTCGAGAGCATTAACAAGTGACTGTTTTGTATAATCACCATATTTCTTTTTTTTTGAGCCAACAACACGTTTATATTTTCTCATTATAAATTTAAATTTAACGGTAAGTTAAAAAACATGGCCGTTTGATTGCTTTTCTAATGTCCCAATTCACCCCAAATTATCCCTCATTCAAAACAAATGCTCCTTTGTACCCCAAGCAAACAGGAAATATACAGGGATGTTTCCACTTATTATTCTTACGTTATGGTTTATCAATCCCTTCCAAAATTTTTGTTTTTGGCAACAAGCGTAGCAACAGAACCACCAATTTTTTGTGATCACTAAATGTAGCAATTTTTTAATTTTAAAGTAAAGCTTGATTATTTCAGTGAAAGTAAAAATAAAAGTAAAACACTTCAGTTTTCTTGAAGCCTCATAACACTTAGCGAACCATCATAAACATAACTTTTAGTAACAAAGCATTCTCTCTCAGAAACATATGGGCAACAATTGAAGGGAATTAGTGTCCCAATTCACCACACTGTCTCAATTCACCCCAGTTGACGGTAGAACTGTTGTAAAAATCACTATCCGGTCGATTTACGCTATCCAGAATAATACGTACAATACAACCAACCCCAGCATTAAAATTCCTAAAAAATTTAATTAGGTCTTTCTGCTTAAAATAGTTATAAGTCTTACCTGTTACCTATAAGTCTCAACACTCAAATAATTTAACACCACTTTGGGAGAGTTAATTAGCACCTACATGAGGAGTGCGGGTGCTAAATCAGCACCAGAAAAGGTGTTAAAATCACAAGTGCTTAATCAGCACTATTCTGGAGTTAGAACATGAGGAATGTCGGTGCTAAAACAGCACCAGAAAAAGTGTTAAAATTACAAGTGCTAAATCAGCATCGTTCTGTAGTTAGAACACTGGTCAAAGATCTGTAGCTGCATGCTAAACTGTGAATAGAAAACGTCTTTTATTAATATCTTTTCCAATGTTAAATCCGTTTGAGATTTAAAAAATCTGTACCCAAAAAGGGGAAATGAGACAAAATGAGGGAAAGGTGTTTGCAGAAATGACTTTATTATTTTTCATGTTTTATAAATATGACGAATATTTTTACAAATTTGAGAACTTACTGAACTCTAATATTGTGTTATCGTGCATATACACAAATCTGAATCGTGAATTTACATATTAACTATTTCATATCTTAAACACACAAACTTTTCACAGCACCCAAATGGCTTAATTAAGCTTAATGGTAAATGGGATGTAAAGTCCTTGGAGTGAAGCACTTTATTTCTTTAATGCATTGAGGGGGCAATTTCATACGCTTGATAATGATCTGAAAACCTCACTGTTTCTTTGTCTAACACAACAAACAACGGATTCTCCAGGTTGTTGTTGACAACATTTATTTCAACGATTTCGCAGAATTCTGGAAAATCGTCAGTATTAAATTAAACATGTAACAGCATTCCAACTTTATATTTTGTACCAAGAATTGATATCCATTTGGCTCTAAGAATCAAATGAATCATATCCCTTGAAACTTCTTTAAAGTCATATGGGCAGAATAGGTCAGAGAAGGAAAACTTACTTATACAATGGTGTTTGTCTTTCTATGCCACTGACTTCTGCTTCAATGAGATCACCAAAATCAGAATCACCAACATAATATATTTTACCTACATAAATAGGGAATTTAATTATATGTAAGCAAGTTCTGAACAAGGTCACCTCCACTCACTTTTGTTTC